CGACCCGTCTCTGGGAACAAATTAAATTCTTAAGTTGAGGCCCCTCTGTACAGTGGCACCTCGATAAACGAGTTTAATCTGTTCCGGCACCGAGCTCGTCATATGGAAAAACTCGTTTTGCAAAACAACAAAACTGTCGTCGGAGGTGTCCGAGACTCAGTGGGAATGCACGTTAATCGAGCAAAAGCTTGTCAGTCGAGACATTTTCTGTGAGTGGCTTGCTCATTACTCGAAATGCTCGTAACTGGGACTCTCGTCACTCGAGGTTCCACTGTACATAAATTTACTGTAATTAGTGTTAGTTTTACTGTCCCCCTACACACCACCCAGCACCGTCCCGCCCTGCACACCACCCAGCACCACCCCCCACATGCCACCCAGCACCGCCCCCCACTGCATGCCACCCAGCACCGCCCCACCTGCACGCCACCCAGCACTGCCACCCACCCAGCACTGCCCCCCACTGCACGCCACCCAGCACTGCCCCCCCTGCATGCCACCTAGCACTGCCCCACCTGCACGCCACCCAGCACTGCCCCACCTGCACGCCACCCAGCACCGCCCCCCCACTGCACGCCACCCAGCACCGTCCCCCACCCCTGCACGCCACCCAGCACCGCCCCCCCCTGCACTCCACCCAGCACCGTCCCCCCCCCTGCACTCCACCCAGCACCGTCCCGCCCTGCACTCCACCCAGCACCGTCCCCCCCCCTGCACGCCACCCAGCACCGTTCCCCCCCCCTGCACGCCACCCAGCACCGTGCCCCCCCCCCTGCACGCCACCCAGCACCGTTCCCCCCCCCTGCACGCCACCCAGCACCATTCCCCCCCCCCCCCCCCTGCATGCCACCCAGCACCATCTGCCCCCCCCCCCCTGCACGCCACCCAGCACCATTCTGCCCCCCCCCCTGCATGCCACCCAGCACCATCTGCCCCCCCCCCCTGCACGCCACCCAGCACCATTCTGCCCCCCCTGCACGCCACCCAGCACCATCCCCCCCCCTGCACGCCACCCAGCACCATTCCCCCCCTGCACGCCACCCAGCACCATCCCCCCCCCCTGCACGCCACCCAGCACCATTCCCCCCCCCCTGCACGCCACCCAGCACCGTCCTGCCCCCCTGCACGCCACCCAGCACCATTCCCCCCCCCCCTGCATGCCACCCAGCACCATTCCCCCCCCCCTGCATGCCACCCAGCACCATTCCCCCCCCCCTGCACGCCACCCAGCACCATTCCCCCCCCCCCTGCACGCTACCCAGCACCATTCTGCCCCCCCTGCACGCCACCCAGCACCATTCCCCCCCCCCCTGCATGCCACCCAGCACCATTCCCCCCCCCCCCCTGCACGCCACCCAGCTCCATTCCCCCCCCTGCACGCCACCCAGCACCATTCCCCCCCCCCCTGCACGCCACCCAGCACCATTCCCCCCCCCTGCATGCCACCCAGCACCATTCCCCCCCCCTGCACGCCACCCAGCAACATTCCCCCCCCCCTGCACGCCACCCAGCACCATTCCCCCCCCCTGCACGCCACCCAGCACCATTCCCCCCCCCCCCTGCATGCCACCCAGCACCATTCCCCCCCCCTGCATGCCACCCAGCAACATTCCCCCCCCTGCACGCCACCCAGCACCATTCTGTCCCCCCTGCATGCCACCCAGCACCATTCTGCCCCCCCTGCATGCCACCCAGCACCATTCTGCCCCCCCTGCATGCCACCCAGCACCATTCCCCCCCCCCCCCCCCTGCACGCCACCCAGCACCATTCCCCCCCCCCCCCTGCATGCCACCCAGCACCATCTGCTGCCCCCCCTGCACGCCACCCAGCACCATTCCCCCCCCCTCCCCTGCATGCCACCCAGCACCATTCCCCCCCCTGCATGCCACCCAGCACCATTCTGCCCCCCCTGCACGCCACCCAGCACCATTCCCCCCCCCTGCACGCCACCCAGCACCATTCCCCCCCCCTGCATGCCACCCAGCACCATTCCCCCCCCTGCATGCCACCCAGCACCATTCCCCCCCCCCTGCACGCCACCCAGCACCATTCCCCCCCTGCATGCCACCCAGCACCATTCCCCCCCCCCCCCCCCACCTGCACGCCACCCAGCACCATTTTTCCCCCCCTGCATGCCACCCAGCACCATTCCCTCCCCCCTGCACGCCACCCAGCACCATTCCCCCCCCCTGCACGCCACCCAGCACCATTCTCCCCCCCTGCACGCCACCCAACACCATTCCCCCCCCCTGCACGCCACCCAGCACCATTCCCCCCCCCCTGCACGCCACCCAGCACCATTCCCCCCCCCTGCACGCCACCCAGCACCATTCTCCCCCCCTGCACGCCACCCAACACCATTCCCCCCCCTGCACGCCACCCAGCACCATTCCCCCCCCCCCCTGCACGCCACCCAGCACCATTCCCCCCCCCCCTGCACGCCACCCAGCACCATTCCCCCCCCCCCCTGCACGCCACCCAGCACCATTCCCCCCCTGC